GTGGGTCGGTTTACTTCCGTTGTTAGTTCGTCATCGCTCGTTTCGATAGCAAACAGGAAGTCGAGGATGGACAGACTTGGATCAGTAGTGTCAGAATTCTCCATTACCAGAAATTCGGTTATGAAGGCCTCACGAGATGGAAATATACGCGCCAACCAAGCAGAGAAATACGTTTTGAGACAGAGAGTTCATGGTTCATATTTACAGTCTTAGAGTAAATACAACCAGCTGCTTGCTCCCATTAATCAGCTGTCAATGAATTTCATCAAGAAATCGACCGTAATCGCGGTCGATTACGCCCGGATACTTAAATACAGGAGAAGGAAACTATGTTTCTTAGGACCCAGTCACAACCCATGTTACAAGCTCAACCTAAATTATCATACCGCAGATAACCGATAACATCTCGCGCCTTGTACATTCCAGGTTTCTGTAATAAGACTTAAAAGTAAATAGCAGGCTAATTTATAACGGAGTTCTCACCAAATAGAATAGTAACACTGTCTATAGAAAAAAAAAACCTTCCTTCACTTAGATGACTTAGTTTCCTACTAGTTTGAAGTACATGTATTATTTCCTCTTTCGAGTTTTGCATTTAGTAACCCTCCCACTATTTTGAAGCCCCCTCCTATAGTTTTGGGCAATGTGTTGTTGAATATACTTTATTCGGTGCCATCAAATACAAAAAAGGCCAGTGACGATGCGTGATGACACGGCGAAAAGAGATTATGTGTTGGACATCAATGGCTGATCGATTTTTTTACCCCCACTCTTTTCATTCAGGATCCTTCGCCTCCATTCATTGTCCATTCGCCTCGATTCAGATGGAAGAATCGTTTGTCGTGCAGCAACTCGACTACGGGAGAATCAATGGAGTGCGAGGGCGTGATAGCCTTGCGAAAGAGTACAAATCTAAAATAGGTGATCAGCAATAGGTAACTAACTAGCAGATCGGAAAAACTTAATTTAACCCTAAAGTTGATCTAGGATTTCAAATTGGAAGTTGCCGGTGCTACCACCTACTGAAACAGTCTCGATCCACGGATTTACTTTTGAACTTGTCACGGTTTAGTCAACTATCTACACTCAAGAAAGCAACCATTTATTCCACAACTAAATTTCAAGAATTTATTTTCCTTTTCGCGCTAACCCCCTCACAGTAATAAGCTATACTATGCAAATACCATCAGCGATCCGAGTCGACCATAATGCTGCCAGAAATCTACCGAGCGGTAGGTGCGGTACGCAGAGAGCTTTGTGTGCGGTAAAGATCAATTTATGGGAGCAAAGTCTATTCTAGCGCTAAAATATACGGGTTGCCGCCGGAGTCCACCTTCGTGTCAGGTATCATGGTCAGCAGAGCGTATAGAATGTTACATAGTGGGTCACAAGTAAGTGAGATGCCCCACTTTCGCGGATGTAGTAGCCAAACCTTTGACGCTTCCTGCCTTTCATAGACCCTTTTAATCTCCGTTTCTCTGCACTCGAAGTTCTTATGTTGGTATCGTAAGGTGCAGCAATCACGTACCTGCACGTATTGCAATGCCAGCCGCCATAAAAGTGTTTTAAGCGGAAATTTTCGCGCTTGTCTTGGTTGCTGTCGTTTAGAATGACGGTACCCAAGGCGAACACGCTAAAATCGAATCACCGGTCCCAAATAATTGGGTACACACTTGCTAGTTGCTCTTTTATTACCCTCGACTACTGCTCGTACTCCATCTACCATGGCACAGGGTTTGCATAAATTTCATCACCACATGGCTGTCAAGAAGGAGACAGCTCTCGGCCACATGCCGCAGATGGAAGTGTGCTTCAAAAACGCAAAATTGTCTGCGAATCCTAGCTTTCGATGATAGTGCTCCAGGGACAAGCTTCCGACCATCCCGCTCGAATTCTAAAGGACATTTGCGGCGTGTACAAGCCTGGCAGGATCACGCTACAACTTGGTCAGCCTGATTCGGGGAAGTCGCATTAAAAGATGCTCACTGGTAGTTTCCCATTGCGAAGTTGAAGGCGACATCTCTTCAATTGCGTACCTCGTGAGGGCATTGTCAAAATACTGCCGTAGTTCGTGTCTTACGTCAGTCAGCGTGATACACACTTTCCAACGCTGAGCATGAAGGGAACACTCGAGTGCCCTCACACGTTTTGTGGTGTTGAGTTCTCGCGTCGTGATGAGGAACTTTTACCGATGAGCTCCGACAAGAAATACTAACCGACTATAACTCATTTCAGGTACCTTTCCCATGGTAATAGTATGCTTCGAGGTACCTGCCGTGATGAACGCAAACACGTTAGGGGTGAAATGGAGTTCTGCGTGAAATTTACTGTGACGCTCATGGACGAGATCAGAACGGATCTCGATAATTCGGCAACGTTCGACATTATTGGCACGCAGCGCAACTTTGCACACGCTCTCATCTCAAGAAGTTAGTACTTTCATCTTACCGTGACAACGAACGGAAGGTTAATGCAACAATGTACGATATTTTTTTACGTATGTGGTTTCTCCAATACTTCGCTTTGACAAGCTGAATGCTTTTTTTCTCATGCCGTCGTACTGACGATGCTACGAGTAACAGGATAATCGCCACCCACTTCTGCTGATGCTGAGTAAATCATCATACCTCCATGCCCTTCTTGGCGGCCAAACGCTTCCCATTCTGCAATAACCGTAGCGTTTGGTCCGGGTCCGTAAGCGCACCCTCCTCCCACGCACAGACCGATCGTAGCCAACGAGTAGTTCCCACCAAATTGAGTTCCCCACGCAGCGAATGTGGTGCTCTCAGCAGCGGCATATATCGCTGCAGCAGTGTCATTGTCCAGGTTGACGTTATATGCCATAATGTTGACCCAGTCCACGTAGTCCAGCACTTCAGACGGGAAGCACCTCGAGTACGCTGCTCTGTCCGCCGCTGAACAGACCGACGTGTCACCCTCATAGAAGTACGCATCATATGTCAGTAGAGCCGAGGTGCTACCTGAAGCATCCAGCGCTTCTCGTGTAGCTTTCAACATCCCCACCATTCGATCAGCACTGAACTCCGCTCCTACAGTCTCGTCATCGAGATCCAGTCCGTCAAATCCGAATTTAGTCATCAAAACCACGGCAGACTCAGCAAACAGCGTGGAGTTCCTAACCGCTGACATGTTCTCATTGTTGGTCGATCCTCCGATACTGCCCATTGCAAGAATACACCGTTCATGAAGCTTCTCTACACACTCCGAGATAGTCGCATCGGAGGACTGGAACGTCGGCACAATAACCCCGTCAGAGACGAGTGCGAAGCCGAAGACGATGTGCGTGACTCCGTCCGGAACAGAGTCACATCCTGCCACTTCACTCTGCCAGAAGGCCACCGTTCGGTCCTTTGCAGCGACCGGGGAGCACGACGACGGTAGTGTCGACGCAGATG